GTGTTTTCCTTTAAAATCGACCTAAGTGGGGATGTATGCCTTTGATCAGCCTGCCTGGGCGCTCACACCCTCCACTGCCAAGGATGCTCCAGGTGGAGGGGGGTGGGCCAGGCCTCCGGCCAGGAGCTGGTGGTGTACGGGGCAGATGTGGGGAGGCACGAGGGGTGCCAGATTCTGGGGAGGGGGGAGCTGTCAGTGCTCGTTGGCATTTTCAGTATGCATGTGCCAAGTTTATTCACGTGTATGGCAAGACCGGGGCGCTGTGCGGGCCTCTGACGCCGGGCGGCCTTGTCACAGGGCCAGGTTGCACAGGTGTCGGGGGCCTGGGCAGGGTGACAGCAGCAGTTCCCCGGATGCTGCAAGGCCAGAGCCTGTTGCTGGCCATGGCTGCCGTCAGGACAGCGTCCTGCCCATCAGGACAGCGTCCTGCCCGTCAGGACAATGGCCTCCACATTTCTGGCCCTCTTGCAAAGACTGCGCTGCTCTCCTCTGAGAAGCTTCTCTTGGTCTTTCCACGAGGCGTTAGGACGGCAGCACAGACACAGAGCTGCGGCAGCGAGGGGTGTGGGGACACAGAACCGGGCGGCCCAGACTTTGCAGCTGCGCTGCTTGGGCAAATCTCTTTCCAGTCTCTGAGCCTCGGTTTTCTCATCTGCACAAGGGGGGCAACCCCGGGGGACACTGCGTTTCTCACCACTGCCAGCCCCCGAGAGCACCCTGTGTGGGAGCCTGGGGCCGGGAGCAGCTCAGGGCAGGGGAGAGTCCTGGAGACACCGGGTGGCCCCCACGTGCCTGGCAGGCAGCTTCTGTGCGGCCGAGGCCGCAGCGCGGCGGGGCTGGATGGTGCAGGGTCGGGGAGGCGCGGACGGGACCTTTCAAGCCTGGGGTTTTCACTTCAGCCAGTGCAGTGCGTACAGCTGGGGCCAAAGGTCAAGAATGGAGCCCTTACAACATTCGAAATGCTCCGTGTTGTGTTTTCTTTGTAAAAAATATGTATTTTATTTATTTGAAAGGCAGAGAAAGCTTCTATCAGTCGGTTCACTCCCCAGATGGCTGCAATGGCTTGAACTGGTCCAGGCTGCAGCCAGGAGCCAGGAACTCCATCTGAGTCTCCCACGTGGGTGGCAGGGGTCCACCTGCTGCCGTCCTGGGCACATCAGCAGGAAGCTGGACCGGGAGCAGAGCAGCCAGCACTGGGACAGGCGCAGTTATGGGATGCCGATGTCGCAGGTGGAGGCTTACCTTGCTGCGCCACGCCGGCAGCCCCTCCATGCCGTATTTCCTGATCGCTCGTCTCGACCCTGTATGTGGATTTCAGATACCGTCCTGGGCCTCCTGCAGTGGGGAGCTTCCGGTTCAGTGGGCAGATCCGAGGGGCTCAGAGCCCAGGCAGCCCCAGTTAGATGGGAGGGGATGTTAAGCCAGGGTGCCCCAAAGGAGAGCTGTGGGGCAGGCACTCCACGCATTCAGGGTCAAGTTCTCTGACCGGCGGGGGTGGGAGTGCACGGCCTCCACCTGGCCCTCGGCCCTGCAGTGCATCTGGCCACAGATTGGTGAGAAGAACAGGAAGGAACCAGGCACAAGCAGCTGCTTCCCTATGGGGTTGTGGGCCAAGGGCTCTTCCTGCGTAGAGGCCTGTGGGCACGCCACGCACCAGGAGGGTGCCTCCAGGGCCCGGCTACGTGTTCACACCTGTCCAGGGTGAGGGGTGGCAGACAGCCCTGCGACAGGCCCCTGCAGCTCTGCACACCTCTGATCCACCGCCATGGCCTCCGTGTGACCTTAGGGCCAATGAGCCATGCATCGGTCACCAACTGTGTGACTTTGTGGCTTGTACCAGGGGCCTCCCCAAAACTGCCATTCGGTTCTTGTGGCTTCGGTGCCCTGCCTGCGCCTCTGCGGCACACAGTCCCGGTCACATCCAGCTCTTTCCCTCGCTGCCGCTCCCTCAGCACAGCCCCAGCCACCGCCGAGCTCTGGCTCTGGGCCTCTGAGACTCTCTGGGTTTCTGTCGGCAGAAGGGGGGTGCCCCAGTGCCTCATGGGATGGCTGTGGTGTTTGAGAGACGCGGCGCCTGCGTCCCACCCAGCCAGGGTTCGTACTCTGCACACTTTCCTTCTCTCCTCTCACCTCCTGCTTCTAGGTCAACGGCCACCTGTGGACGCCCGGGCCACCAGCAGGGCCCTCCCCCACCTGTCCAGAAAGACGTAGAAGGTCCCCTTTGAGCTCCCTGGCTCACGTCAGTCTGCCATCAGCCTGCGGGTGTTGGCGGGGCGGAAGCTTCCGGCCCAGGACGAGCCTGTAGCTGAGCTTGAACCTGTCCCTTGTGCATGCAGGCAGCAGAAACACGTGGCAGCAGGAAAGGGCCAGTGGCCTGGCAGTCACCCTCCACCTGTCTGCAGCGCTGAGCCTTACCCAGAGGCCATTGCTCGTGGG